CAGTGGTTGTATTAAATGGCCTACCTGATAAGCACTCGATCCTGCTCCGAAGATAAAACCATCAGGAAAGCTACTCCGATTTAGCGCGGTTGATCGTTCAAAGTAAGCTAAAAATGAAATCAGTGCCGCAAGGAAGAGGAAGAAACGAAACTCCATTTTCATGTATGGCGTTTCTCCATTTCCTCTGCTGTCTATAAATGCACTAAGAAAACATGCATGTGGAAGCGTACGTATATGCTGAGAGAGAGAGAGAGAGAGAGATACGGATATCATGCGCCCTGCATTTTGTTAGATAGATGTGAATCATTGTGGTAGATTTTGTTTTGTTTTGTTTTGTTTGTTATTATTATTATTATTATTATTATTGGCTTTTGATGGGTAATAATTGTGGTAGTTGATAAATATGATGTGCTTTTTTCTCATTTTGGACTGATTGGGGAAATAAATAATTAATCAACGCTGGACTGGTAGTTTTCCGTTTTGGTAAATGGCACCGATAGATTAATTTGTCCCATCTACCTTTTGGTAGATTTGTGCCCTCTATCTTTTGGTAGATTTGTGCCCTCTACCTTTGTTGGATAAGGCACTGATATCTAATTTCCTCTGATTCCCCTCCCAGGCATTTCTCAATTCCAAAGCTCTAACTTCCTTCTGTCTGAGATACTTTTTCTTTGCTCTAATTGCTTTCTCTGACATAGGGGGATGCAAAACTGAAGGTGAAACAGCTTGTAGTTCCAACCCTAAGAAGTTAATTTTCTCTGAAACAGCACTATGGACAGCTGTTTTTACTCTATCAACCTTCAGATCTAAATTCACCTCCAAAAAGTTCAAGATCTGGTTCTTCAAATCCAATATTGAAATCTTAGATCCTGACGTTATTACCAATAACTCATCCAAGTACCTTACAGCATATATCTTGTCCGGCTTATAAAAGACATTTGAGGTGGAAACAAGCTCATTCAAATCAAGTTTGGGATCATTCTGATTCATTTTAAGGCGCATATCCTGGATCTCTTTATCCAAACTATCAAAGTAAATATTAATCAAAATTGAACACAAGCCAGATTCCTAAGGAAACCCTCTTCCTAAGTAACACCCACCCAGTTCAATTCTCACTACTTCACATTCAAACAACATCTTGAGCATACCAATCAACATCATATCCTTAATTTTCTCCTCAATAAACAAACACAATTTATCTATGTTACACTTCTGAAAGTTCTCACGGTTAAACAAAACACTAAACCACCAACTTAGATTTTGTACAGAGTTTTTAAGGTACCTAATTGCAGTATGCCTTCCCATACCAACACAGCCCCCCGTAAGAAAATGTGACAAACCGTTCATCATAGACAATTTCCAATCCCATCCTCATAGCTTCAATCAAGACCTTCAATTTCAAATTGGGCAGGACCAGAGGCTCACCTCTATCCCTTCATTGCGTCATTTTGACACAGCAAGACTCAACATCAAACTCATTTTCTCTAATTTCACCACTCATTTCAATTATGGAGAAGCATTTGGAGACGGAATCCAGAAAATGAGGGAGCAACTGAGTTGTCTCTGGCGTTGTGTTGCCAGGGCTGGTGAGGTTTTGGCACACAGTGAGGAGGACAGAGGGCAAAGCAATGACATTGTGGACAAGGTTGGAGAAGTTCACATGAGAGTATTGGGAGAGAACCAGGATCTTGAGCTGGGGTTTTGTTAAGGGCTCTGTGGGGGTTTGCATAAGGGTTTAAGGGAAGGGTTGAGTATTGTTTAAATGCTGCAGTGATGGAGATAGAATGCCCAAGATTGAGCCTAGTGGTTCTGTTGAGCTTCTTAAGCATTGATGGGTAGTGAAGAAATATGAAGCAAAAGATGAAATTGATTGCTATATTCTCTTTGTTTTGGAGATCCACCTCTTTCTTCTTCTCACTTTTTCTTTTAACCTCACAGAAAGTATCTGTAAGACATCATATAAATTTCTAATCTTGTTGGAAGGAATAAATAAATAAATAAAAGCAAAAACTGCATCACAAAATTCTCACAAAAGAAGTATTGAGTCTATTGACTATTGTCCAATTCACAATGTAAATCGATTAAACATAGTGAAATTCAATAAGAACCTAATAATACCTGATGTACTTTGTGTAAAATCAAGATAATAACTTGTATGAAATGGAAAAAAAAACTAGTAAATTGATAATAACAAGGCTCGACACAATGTGGATGTTCAACATGGAGCTAGAACAATTCTGATCATCAGACATCACCATATTCATTATAAAAATTTTTTAAAAAATAATTAAAAAAATAAAAATAAAAATAAAAAACAGAGAAGAGTTACAAGGCTAATAAATTTTGATAGTGATCAAATCAAGATCTATTTCCATTAGAAGAGAATAAACCAACAACAAGGGTCACTTCCTCCATGTTAATTTTTAACATCTTTTAAAGCTTGGCTAACCAAGGGGCATTCTACCATTTCAATTCAATGACACCATACATTAGCTAAACACACCCACAATAGGAATTGTGAGATAACAATATTAGAAAAAAGGGGAAAAAAACGTAACATTCCTCTGCACCACCTTTTTTCCCCAGAATGTAAAAGAAACACACAAAATTAGTAGAAGAGTAGCTCAAACAATGTGCAAGGAGAGAGTATACAATAATTTAATTCTTAAGACATGCAATCTCAATTAGTCGCTCTAGAAATGCACATTAGAGTGCTTCCATATAGGTAACCAATTATTGGAAAAATTTATCAAAAAACTCACTCATTTCCCCTTTCCCCTTTCATCCATTTAATGACTTACTTTTGTCCATTCAACCAACTGATAAATATTCATTTTCATAAGTCCATCTTCACCTTAACCTACTTTAAGGCACTCAATCTTAGCTGGATTTTTCATGTTTATATTGAAACATCAACCATATTTTTGAATTATAAGCTAGCAATTTCTTTTGCATGGCAGTTTCGATTAAAGGAAAAATAAATAAATTCTTTCAGACAGCAAGTATTCATCATATTTTGTGCAAAAGAGACTGATGACCAGTAAGCTTGACTTGAACACCCACGTCCAAAAACATTGGAAAACCCAAGACAGCTTCTTTCCTATCTGACTGAATGAAAAATCATTCATAATACCATAACCAATCTCTTGAGTATTAAATTTCGATTTCGCCATGTTCAAGTTAACAAAAAATAGCATAGCAAGTTCTAATAGGAATTTTAACAAACATCTTATGGGCACTAAAGGAATCATCCATCAACCACTAATTAAAACACATTTCAACAATCAACAACTAGTATACCGCAGAAAAAGAAAAAACGGCTCCCGTAACACATAAAACATTTGAAAATTTTAAGCCGAGTTTGAGAAATTAACAGTGATTTTGGGTTCAGTAGCGCACCAGATTGGAGCCGAACACGAGAAGGCGGCGCGGAGGAAAGAAGGAAGGCCGAAAAAGATGAAGAAGTTGGGCTATCCAATTGAGGGAAGTCCAAATAAACCCACGGTTCTAGCCTTCGAGCTTCTAGGTACACAAATGACCTCCAAAACCCATTCCTAGAGCTAAAGCCTAAAAGCCTAAAACCTTTTCACCCGTATTTAATTGGGCTTAAGCCCCCAAAAAGTAGCAAACTTTAAAACAAAAAGGCCGACAAAAAGCATTGTTACTTGCGGTTGAACATCGAATACAGGTATATCTGATATAAAAGTATCTGATTTATTTGAATAGATATTTTACTTATACTTATAGGGAAACAAGTAAGTATCAGGTATTAAAAATGTATACCAATTAATATCAAGTAAGTATTGGATATGATAATCAATACTTACATACTTGACATGTATACTTCACTTATAGACCTAACTTGTATATTTGCCTCGTATAATTGACTTATATTTTAGTTTTATATGTTTAATTTATATATAATGTTACAAAATTAAAATGTTTATGTTTTTTTCTTTTCTTCGGACAATGAAGACTCAATTGAAGGTAAATCAT